GGCAGCCCTGGAGATATGCGCCCCTAGAGATAGGTGCCTCTAGAGATAGGCACCCCTAGAGATGGGCGCCCATAGAGATATGCACCCATAGAGATAGGCGCCCCTAGAGATAGGCGCCCCTAGAGATAGGGGCCCATACAGATAGGCGCCCATAGAGATAGGCGCCCCTAGAGACAGGCGCCCCTAGAGATAGGCGCCCCTAGAGATAGGCGCCCCTAGAGATAGGCGCCCCTAGAGATAGGCGCCCCTAGAGATAGGCGCCCCTAGAGAGGCGCCCCTAGAGATAGACGCCCATAGTTACATGCGCCCCTAGAGATACGCGCCCATAGAGATAGGAGCCCCTAGAGACGGGCGCCCCTAGAGATAGGCGCCCCGAGATAGGCGCCCCTAGAGACAGGCGCCCCTAGAGGTATGCGCCCCTAGAGATATTCGCCCCTAGAGATGGGCGCCCATAGAGATAGGCGCCCCTAGAGATAGGCGCCCATAGAAATAGCCGGCCCTAGAGATAGGCGCCCCTAGAGATAGGTGCCCCTAGAGATAGGCGCCCATAAAGATAGGCGCCAATAGAGATAGGCGCCGTAGAGATAGGCGCCCATAGAGATAGGCAACCATAGAGATAGGCGCCCATAGAGAAAGGCGCCCATAGAGACAGGCGCCCCTAGAGAGAGGCGCCCATAGAGATAGGCGCCCCTAGAAATAGGCGCCCCTAGAGATAGGCGATCCTAGAGATAAGCGCCCCAAGAGATAGGTGCCCATAGAGATAGGAGCCCCTAGAGAGAGGCGCCCCTAGAGATAGGCGCCCCTAGAGATAGGCACCCCTAGAGATAGGCGCTCATAGAGATAGGCGCCCATAGAGATAGGCGCCCCTAGAGAGAGGCGCCCCTAGAGATAGGCGCTCCTAGAGATAAGCGCCCCTGGAGATAGGTGCCCATAGAGATAGGAGCCGCTAGAGATAGGCGCCCCTAGAGATAGGCGCCCTTAGAGATAGGCGCACCTAGAGATAGGCGCCCCTAGAGATAGGGGCCCCTAGAGATAGGCGCCCCTAGAGATAGGCGCCCCTAGAGATAGGCGCCCCTAGAGATAGGCGCTCCTAGAGATAAGCGCCCCTAGAGATAGGTGCCCATAGAGATAGGAGCCGCTAGAGATAGGCGCCCCTAGAGATAGGCGCCCTTAGAGATAGGCGCCCCTAGAGATAGGCGCCCCTAGAGATAGGCGCCCCTAGAGATAGGCGCCCCTAGAGATAGGCACCCCTAGAGATAGGCGCCCTTAGAGATAGGCGCCCCTGGAGATAGGCGCCCCTGCAGATAGGCGCCCCTAGAGATAGGCGTCCATAGATTTAGGCGCCCATAGAGATAGGCGCCCCTTGAGATAGGCACCCCTAGAGATAGGCGCCCCTAGAGATAGGCGCCCCTATAGATAGGCGCCCCTAGAGATAGGCGCCCATAGAGATAGGCGCCCATAGAGATAGGCGCCCATAGAGATAGGAGCCCATAGAGATAGGCGCCCATAGAGATAGGAGCCCATAGAGATAGGAGCCCATAGAGATAGGCGCTCATAGAGATAGGCGCCCATAGAGATAGGCGCCCCTAGAGAAAGGCGCCCCTAGAGATAGGCGCCCCTAGAGATAGGCGCCCCTAGAGATAGGCGCCCCTAGAGATAGGCGCCACTAGAGATAGGCGCCCCTAGAGATAGTCGGCCCTAGAGATAGGCGCTCCTACAGATAGGCGCCCCTATAGATAGGCGCCCCTAGAGATAGGCGCCCCTAGAGATAGGCGCTCCCAGAGATAAGCGCCCCTAGAGACAGTTGCCCATAGAGATAGGTGCCCCTAATGATAGGCGCCCCTAGAGATAGGCGCCCATAGAGATAGGCGCCCATAGAGATAGGCGCCCCTAGAGATAGGCGCCCATAGAGATAGGCATCCCTAGAGATAGGCGCCCCTAGAGATAGGCGCCCCTAGAGATAGGCGCCCCTAGAGATAGGCGCTCATAGAGAAAGGCACCCATAGAAATAGGCGCTCCTGCAGATAGTCGCCCCTAGAGATAGGCGTCCATAGATTTAGGCGCCCATAGAGATAGGTGCCCCTAGAGATAGGCACCCCTAGAGATAGGCGCCCCTAGAGATAGGCGCCCCTATAGATAGGCGCCCATAGAGATAGGCGTCCCTAGAGAGAGGCGCCCATAGAGATAGACGCCTCTAGAGATAGGTGCCCCTGGAGATAGGCGCCCCTAGAGATAGGCGCCCCTAGAGATTGGCGCCCCTAGAGATAGGCGCCCTTAGAGATAGGCGTCCTTAGAGATAGGCGCCCCTAGAGATAGGCGAACTTAGAGATAGGCGCCCCTAGAAATGGGCACCCATAAAGATAGGCGCCTCTAAAGATTGGCGCCCCTAAAGAGAGGCGCCCATAGATATAGGCGCCCATAGAGATAGGCGTCCCTAGAGATAGGCGCCCCTAGAGATAGGCGCCCCTGGAGATGGGCGCCCATAGAGATAGGCGCCCATAGAGATAGGCGCCCCTAGAGATAGGTGCCTCTAGAGATAGGCGCCCATAGAGATAGGCGCCCCTAGAGATAGGCGCCCATTGAGACAGCCATCCATAGAGGTAGGCGCCGCAAGAGATAGGCGCCCCTATAGATAGGCGCCCCTATAGATAGGCACCCCTAGGTATATGCGCCCATAGAGATAGGTGTCCCTAGAGAGAGGCGCCCACAGTGATAGGCGCCCCTAGAGATAGGCGCCCTTAGAGATATGCGCTCCTAGAGATAAGCGACCCTAGAGTTAGGCGCCCATAGAGATAGGCGAACGTAGAGATAGGCGCCCATAGAGATAGGCGCCCATAGAGATAGGCGCCCATAGAGATAGGCGCCCCTAGAGATAGGCGCCCATTGAGACAGGCACCTATAGAGGTAGGCGCCGCTAGAGATAGGCGCCCCTATAGATAGACGCCCCTTTAGATAGGCACCCCTAGTTATATGTGCCCATAGAGATAGGCGTCCCTAGTGAGAGGCGCCCACAGTGATAGGTGCCCCTAGAGATAGGCGCCTCTAGAGAAAGGCGCTCCTAGAGATGAGCGCCCCTAAAGATAGGTGCCCATAGAGATAGGAGCCCCTAGAGATAGGCGCCCCTAGAGATAGGCGCCACTAGAGAAGGGCGCTCATAGAGATAGGCGCCCATAGAAATAGGCGCCCCTAGACATAGGTGCCCTTATAGATAGGCGCCCCTAGAGATAGGCGCCCGTAGAGATAGGCGCCCCTAGAAATAGGCGCCCTAGAGATAGGCGCCCCTAGAGATTGGCATCCCTAGAGATAGGCGCCCCTAGAGATAGGCGCCCCTAGAGATAGGCGCTCTTAAAGAAAAGCGCCCATAGAGATAGGCGCCCCTAGAGATAGGCGCCCCTAGAGATAGGCGTCCATAGAGACAGGCGCCCATAGAGATAGGCGCCCCTAGAGATAGGCGCCCATAGAAATAGGCGCCCCTAGAGATAGGTGCCCCTATAGATAGGCACCCCTAGAGATAGGCGCCCCTAGAGATAGGCGCCCACAGAGATAGGCGCCCATAGAGATAGGCGCTCCTAGAGATAGGCGCCCCTGGAGATGGGCGCCCATAGAGATAGGCGTCCCTAGAGATAGGCGCCCCTAGAGATAGGCGCCCATAGAGATAGGCGCCCCTAGAGATAGGCGCCCCTAGAGATAGGCGCCCCTGGAGATGGGCGCCCATAGAGATAGGCGCCCGTAGAGATAGGCGCCCCTAGAGATAGGCGCCCTTAGAGATAGGCGCCCCTAGAGATAGGCGCCCCTAGAGATAGGCGCCCATAGAAATAGGTGCACCTAAAGATAGGCGCCCATAGAGATAGGCGCCCCTAGAGATAGGCGCCCCTAGAGATAGGTGCCCCTAGAGATAGGCGCCCATAAAGATAGGCGCCAGTAGAGATAAGCGCCCATAGAGATGGGCGCCCATAGAGATAGGCGCCCATAGAGATAGGCGCCCCTAGAGAGAGGCGCCCATAGCGATAGGCGCCCCTAGAGATAGGCGCCGCTAGAGATAGGCGCTCCTAGAGATAAGCGCCCCTAGAGATAGGAGCCCCTCGAGATAGGCGCCCCTAGAGATAGGCGCCCCTAGAGATAGGCGCCCCTAGAGATGGGCCCCCAAAGAGATAGGCACCCCTAGAGATAGGCGCCCCTAGAGATAGGCGCCCCTAGAGATAGGCGCCACTAGAGATAGGCGCCCCTAGAGATAGGCGCCTATAGAAACAGGCGCCCATAGAGATAGGCGCCCATAGAGATATGCGCTCCTAGAGATAGGCGCCCCTAGAGATGGGCACCCCTAGAGATAGGCGCCCATAGAGATATCTAGGGGCGCCTATCTCTATGGGCGCCTATCTCTATGGGATGCCATAGAGATATCTATGGGCGCCTATCTCTAGGGGCGCCTATCTCTAGGGGCACCTATCTCTAGGAGCGCCTCTCTCTATGGGCGCCTATCTCTAAGGGCGCCTATATCTATAGGCGCCTATCTCTAGGGGCACCTTTCTCTAGGGGCGCCTATCTCTAGAGGCGATATCTCTATGGGCGCCTATCTCTAGGGGTGCCTATTTCTATAGGGATAGGCGCTCATAGAGATAGGCGCCCATAGAGATAAGCACCCCTAGAGATTGGCGCCTATCTCTATGGGCGCCTATCTGTAGGGGCGCCTGTTTCTATGGGCGCCTATCTCTAGGGGCGCCTACCTCTAGTGGCGCCTATCTCTAGGGGCGCCTATCTCTAGGGGCGCCTATCTCTAGGGGCGCCTATCTCTATGGGGGCCCATCTCTAGGGGCGCCTATCTCTAGGGGCGCCTATCTCTAGGGGCGCCTATCTCGAGGGGCTCCTATCTCTAGGGGCGCTTATCTCTAGGAGCGCCTATCTCTAGCGGCGCCTATCTCTAGGGGCGCCTATCGCTTAGGGCGCCTCTCTCTAGGGGCGCCTATCTCTATGGGCGCCTCTCTCTAGGGGCGCTTGTCTCTATGGGCGCCTATCTCTATGGGCGCCTATCTCTATGGGCGCCTATCTCTATGGGCGCCCATCTCTATGTGCGCCTATCTCCACTGGCGCCTATCTCTTGCGGCACCTATCTCTAGGGGCGCCTATCTATAGGGGCGCCTTTCTCTATGGGCGCCTATCTCTATGTGCACCTATTTCTATGGGCGCCTATCTCTATGGGCGCCTATCTCTAGGGGCGACTATCTCTAGGGGCGCCTATCTCTAGGGGCGCCTATCTCTAGGGGCGCCTATCTCTAGGGGCACCTTTCTCTAGGGGCGCCTATCTCTAGGGGCGCCTATCTCTATGGGGGCCCATCTCTAGGGGCGCCTATCTCTAGTGGCGCCTATCTCTAGGGGCTCCTATCTCTAGGGGCGCCTATCTCTATGGGCGCCTATCTCTATGGGCGCCTATCTCTAGGGGCGCCTATTTCTATAGGCGCCTATCTCTAGGGGCGCCTATCTCTAGTGGCGCCTATATCTAGGGGCGCCTATCTCTAGGGGCGCCTATCTCTAGGGGCACCTAATCTATGGGGGCCCATCTCTAGGAGCGCCTATCTGTAGGGGCGCCTATCTCTAGGGGCGCCTATCTCTAGGGGCGCCTATCTTTAAGGGCGCCTATTCCTATGGGCGCCTATCTCTCTAGGCACCTATCTCTAGGGGCGATCATCTCTAGGAGCGTCTATCTCTAGCGGCGCCTATCTCTAGGGGCGCCTATCTCTATGGGCGCCTCTCTCTAGGGGCGCCTATCTCTATGGGCGCCTATCTCTATGGGCGCCCATCTCTATGGGCGCCTATCTATACTGGCGCCTATCTTTATGGGCGCCTATCTCTAGGGGCACCTATCTCTAGGGGCGCCTATCTCTAGGGGCGCCTATCTCTATGGCCGCCTATCTCTAGGTGCACCTATTTCTAGGGGCGCCTATCTCTATAGGCGCCTATCTCTACGGGCGACTATCTCTAGGGACTCCTATCTCTAGGGGAGCCTCTCTCTTTGGGCGCCTCTCTCTAGGGGCGCCTATCTCTATGGGCACCTCTCTCTAGGGGCGCCTGTCTCTGTGGGCGCCTATCTCTATGAGCGCCTATCTCTATGGGCGCCTATCTCTATGGGCGCCTATCTCTATGGGCGCCTATCTCTATGGGCGCCCATCTCTATGGGCGCCTATCTATAGTGGCGCCTATCTTTATGGGCGCCTATCTCTAGGGGCACCTATCTCTAGGGGCGCCTATCTCTAGGGGCGCCTATCTCTATGGCCGCCTATCTCTAGGTGCACCTATTTCTAGGGGCGCCTATCTCTATAGGCGCCTATCTCTACGGGCGACTATCTCTAGGGACTCCTATCTCTAGGGGAGCCTCTCTCTTTGGGCGCCTCTCTCTAGGGGCGCCTATCTCTATGGGCACCTCTCTCTAGGGGCGCCTGTCTCTGTGGGCGCCTATCTCTATGAGCGCCTATCTCTATGGGCGCCTATCTCTATGGGCGCCTATCTCTATGGGCGCCTATTTCTATGGGCGCCTATCTCTATGGGTGCCTATCTCTAGGGGCCCCTATCTCTAGGGGCGCCTATCTCTAGGGGCGCCTATCTCTATGTGCGCCTATCTCTAGGTGCGCCTATCTCTAGGGGCGCCTATCTCTAGGGGGGCCTATCTCTAGGGGCCGCCTATCTCTATGGGCGCCTATCTCTATGAGCGCCTATCTCTAGGGGCGCCTATCTCTATGGGCACCTATCGCTTCGCTAGGGTCGCCTATTTCTATGGGCGCCTATCTCTATGGGCGCCTCTCTCTAGGGGCGCCTATCTCTATGGGCGCCTATCTCTATGGGCGCCTATCTCTATGGGCGCCTCTCTCTAGGGGCGCCTATCTCTATGGGCGCCTCTCTCTAGGGGCACCTGTCTCTATGGGCTCCTCTCTCTATGGGCGCCTATCTCTATGGGCGCCTATCTCTATGGACGCCTATCTCTATGGGCGCCTATCTCTATGGGCGCCCATCTCTATGGGCGCCTATCTCTACTGGCGCCTATCTTTATGGGCGCCTATCTTTAGGGGCACCTATCTCTAGGGGCGCCTATCTCTAGTGGCGCCTATCTCTATGGCCGCCTATCTCTAGGTGCACCTATTTCTAGGGGCGCCTATCTCTATAGGCGCCTATCTCTAGGGGCGACTATCTCTAGGGGCTCCTATCTCTAGGGGCGCCTATCTCTTTGGGCGCCTCTCTCTAGGGGCGCCTATCTCTATGGGCGCCTCTCTCTAGGGGCGCCTGTCTCTTGGGCGCCTATCTCTATGGGCGCCTATCTCTATGGGCGCCTACCTCTAAAGGGGCCTATCTCTATGGGCGCCTATCTCTATGGGCGCCTATCTCTATGGGCGCCTATCTCTAGGGGCCCCTATCTCTAGGGGCGCCTATCTCTAGGGGCGCCTATCTCTATGGGCGCCTATCTATAGGTGCGCCTATCTCTAGGGGCGCCTATCTCTAGGGGCGCCTATCTCTAGGGGCGCCTATCTCTAGGGGCCCCTATCTCTACGGGCACCTATCGCTAGGGTCGCCTATCTCTATGGGCGCCTATCTCTATGGGCGCCTCTCTCTAGGGGCGCCTATCTCTAGGGGTGCCTATCTCTAAGAGCGCCTCTCTTTATGGGCGCCTATCTCTAGGGGTGCCTATCTCTAGGGGCGCCTATCTCTAGGGGCGCCTATCTCTAAGGGCGCCTATTCCTATGGGCGCCTATCTCTCTGGGCACCTATCTCTAGGGGCGATCATCTCTAGGAGCGTCTATCTCTAGCGGCGCCTATCTCTAGGGGCGCCTATCTTTATGGGCGCCTCTCTCTAGGGGCGCCTATCTCTATGGGCGCCTATCTCTATGGGCGCCCATCTCTATGGGCGCCTATCTCTACTGGGGCCTATCTTTATGGGCGCCTATCTCTAGGGGCACCTATCTCTAGGGGCGCCTATCTCTAGGGGCGCCTATCTCTATGGCCGCCTATCTCTAGGTGCACCTATTTCTAGGGGCGCCTATCTGTATAGGCGCCTATCTCTACGGGCGACTATCTCTAGGGACTCCTATCTCTATGGGCGCCTCTCTCTTTGGGCGCCTCTCTCTAGGGGCGCCTATCTCTATGGGCGCCTCTCTCTAGGGGCGCCTGTCTCTGTGGGTGCCTATCTCTATGAGCGCCTATCTCTATGGGCGCCTATCTCTGTGGGCGCCAATCTCTATGGGCGCCTATCTCTATGGGCGCCTCTCTCTAGGGGCGCCTATCTCTATGGGCGCCTCTCTCTAGGGGCACCTGTCTCTATGGGCGCCTATCTCTATGGGCGCCTATCTCTTTGGGCGCCTATCTCTATGGGCGCCTATCTCTATGGGCGCCTATCTCTATGGGCGCCCATATCTATGGGCGCCTATCTCTACTGGCGCCTATATTTATGGGCGCCTATCTTTAGGGGCACCTATCTCTAGGGGCGCCTATCTCTATGGCCGCCTATCTCTAGGTGCACCTATTTCTAGGGGCGCCTATCTCTAGGGGCGACTATCTCTAGGGGCTCCTATCCCTAGGGGCGCCTATCTCTTTGGGCGCCTCTCTCTAGGGGCGCCTATCTCTATGGGCGCCTCTCTCTAGGGGCGCCTTTCTCTGGGGCGCCTATCTCTATGGGCGCCTATCTCTATGGGCGCCTACCTCTATGGGCGCCTATCTCTATGGGCGCCTATCTCTATGGGCGCCTATCTCTATGGGCGCCTATCTCTAGGGGCCCCTATCTCTAGGGGCGCCTATCTCTAGGGGCGCCTATCTCTATGGGCGCCTATCTATAGGTGCGCCTATCTCTAGGGGCGCCTATCTCTAGGGGCCGCCTATCTCTATGAGCGCCTATCTCTAGGGGCGCCTATCTCTATGGGCGCCTATCTCTATGGGCGCCTCTCTCTAGGGGCGCCTATCTCTATGGGCACCTCTCTCTAGAGGCGCCTATCTCTATGAGCGCCTCTCTCTAGAGGCGCCTATCTCTATGAGCGCCTCTCTCTTGGGGCGCCTGTCGAGATGGGCGCCTATCTCTATGGGCGCCTATCTCTATGGGCGCGTATCTCTATGAGCGCCTATCTCTATGGGCGCCTACCTCTATGGGCGCCTATCTCTAGGGGCGCCTATCTCTAGGGGCGCCTATCTCTAGGAGCGCCTCTGTCTATGGGCGCCTATCTCTAGGGGCGCCTATCTCTATGGGCGCCTTTCTCTAGGGGCACCTATCTCTAGGGGCGATATCTCTATGGGCGCCTATCTCTAGGGGCGCCTGTCTCTATGGGCGCCTATCTCTATGGGCGCCTATCTCTATGGGTGCCTATCTCTATGGGCGCCTATCTCGATGGGCGCCTATCTCTAGGGGCGCCTTTCTCTAGGGGTGCCTATCTCTAAGAGCGCCTCTCTCTATGGGCGCCTATCTCTAGGGTCGCCTATCTCTATGGGCGCCTTTCTCTAGGGGCACCTATCTGAAGGGGCGATATCTCTATGGGCGCTTATCTCTAGGGGCGCCTATCTCTAGGGGCGCCTATCTCTAAGAGCGCCTCTCTCTATGGGCGCCTATCTCTAGGGGCGCCTATCTCTATGGGCGCCTTTCTCTAGGGGCACCAATCTCTAGGGGCGATATCTCTATGGGCGCCTATCTCTAGGGGTACCTATCTCTAGGGGCGCCTATCTCTAGAAGCGCCTCTCTCTATGGGCACCTATCTCTAGGGGCGCCTATCTCTATGGGCGCCTATCTCTAGGGGCGCCTTTCTCTAGGGGCGCCTATCTCTAGGGGCGATATCTCTATGGGCGCCTATCTCTAGGGGTGCCTATCTCTAGGGGCGCCTATCACTAGGAGCGCCTCTCTCTATGGGCGCCTATCTCTAGGGGCGCCTATCTCTAGGGGCGCCTATCTCTAGGAGCGCCTCTCTCTATGGGCGCCTTTCTCTAGGAGTGCTTCTCTCTATGGGCGCCTATCTCTAGGGGCGCCTATCTCTATGGGCGCCTTTCTCTAGGGGAACCTATCTCTAGGGGTGATATCTCTATGGGCGCCTATCTCTAGGGGCGCCTCTCGCTATGGGCGCCTATCTCTAGGGGCGCCTATCTCTATGGGCGCCTATCTCTAGGGGCGCCTATCTCTAGGGGCGCCTATCTCTAGGAGCGCCTCTCTCTATGGGCGCCTATCTCTAGGGGCGCCTATCTCTATGGGCGCCTATCTCTAGGGGCGCCTATCTCTAGGAGCGCCTCTCTCTATGGGCGCCTATCTCTAGGGGCGCCTATCTCTATGGGCGCCTTTCTTTAGGGGCACCTATCTCTAGGGGCGATATCTCTATGGGCGCCTATCTCTAGGGGCGCCTATCTCTAGGGGCGCCTATCTCTAGTAGCGCCTCTCTCTATGGGCGCCTATCTTTAGGGGCGCCTATCTCTATGGGCGCCTATCTCTAGGGGCGCCTATCAAAAGGGGCGCCTATCTCTAGGAGCGCCTCCCTCTATGGGCGCCTATCTCTAGGGGCGCCTATCTCTATGGGCGCCTTTCCCTAGAGGCACCTATCTCTAGGGGCGATATCTCTATGGGCGCCTATCTCTTGGGGTGCCTATCTCTAGGGGCGCCTATCTCTAGGAGCGCCTCTCTCTATGGGCGCCTATCTCTAGGGGCGCCCATCTCTATGGGCACCTATCTCTAGGGGCGCCTATCTCTAGGGGCGCCTATCTCTAGGAGCGCCTCTCTCTATGGGCGGCTATCTCTAGGGGCGCCTATCTCTATGGGTGCCTTTCACTAGGGGCACCTATCTCTAGGGGCGATATCTCTATGGGCGCCTATCTCTATGGGTGCCTATCTCTAGGGGCGCCTATCTCTAGGATGAGAAGAAGTGAACGAGAATGAATCAACTATGAATGAAGTGAGTACAAATATGAACCCTTTTTGGGTTGTACCCCCTATGGGATACCCCACTATAGCCTACACAAATAAGTAAGCTATAATGTTCTGACACACCCCCATAGGCAAAGTGGGGGAGAACAAGGGGTCACAAGACCAGTCAAGCAAAGCAAAGCAAAGCTCAGGGTGGATCACAAAGTCACCACACATTCCGAGCGCAAGGTCAAGGGCCACAAGGCCAGTTCGCATGCAAGATCATATATAGAGATATACAAGAGTCAAGCAAGCAAGAGCAAGAGTATATATAGGTCAAGGTACAAGCAAGGTCAAGAAGTGAGCAAGTGAGGCAAGACAGGCACAAGACCCAGCTGCGTGCAGCAACGCTCATGATCACAAGGCGCAAGTTCCTTGGTGAAGACATCAGCAGTGTTGGCCTCAGAGGCCACGTACGCAAGTCGCAACTGTCCACGCTGCTGTAGCTCACGAGCAAGAAAGTAGCGGAGAGCAATGTGCTTTGTCCTGTGCTCCAGGTGCTGCTCTCGACACAAGGCCAGCATGGCCTTGTTGTCTACGTACAGGACTGGAGGAGAACAAGGCGGCTCTCCAAGGTCGGTCAGCAGGTAGGTGAGCCAGCGAAGCTCCTGAGCAGCCATAGCCCCGGCGTAGATCTCAGCCTCACAACTGGAGCCGAGAACAGAAGACGAGCGAGTAGCCCGCCACGAGACAGAGCTGGAACCAAGGCCGAAGGTGTAACCCTGTGACGACCGCTGCGTAGCCTGGTCGTCAGCCCAAGAAGCGTCCGCGTGCCCAGTGAGGACCACTGGACTACGCCCTCCAAGCACTAGCCCCATGCCCGACGTACTGCACAAGTAGCGCAACACCCTCTTTGCTGCAGCCATGTGCTCTGGTCGGTGTCTCCCAGGAGCAACATAGCGCGCGAGAATGCTGAGAGGGTATGCAAGGTCAGGTCGTGTGCAGGTCATCAGGTACATGAGGCAGCCAACAAGCTCTGCATACGGGCCACTCGACTCTACGGACTCATTCGAAGGCAGAGCTGAGAGCGAGTGGCGAGTAGGCAGAGGAGTGGCCTGAGGCGAGGAGTACGTGAAGCCGAAGCGCTGAAGGACCTGCTGCACCATGTGTGACTGAGTCAGGGTAATGGTGCGGCGTGCTCTGTCCCGGGTGATCTGCAAGCCAAGGTAGTTGCGCAGTTCACCCAGGTCAGTGCACGTGTGTCTCTTCTGCAGCTCGGACTTCACGTAGGCGAGTCCAGCAGTGTCTGCTGTGGCAAAGACCAAGTCGTCGACGTACACGAGGATGTAGAACGGCGGCAGAGAGGTGTCGGTGCGCAGAAACAGCGACGGGTCGGCAGTAGAAGGAGCAAACCCAAGTGCCGCAAGCGTAGTCCTCAGTGTGTTGTGCCACTCACGTGGCGCCTGGCGGAGACCGTAGACTGGACGCCGGAGACTCCACTAGGTACCAGGAGGGAAAGACCCAGTGAAGCCAGGTGGGCGACGCAGCCAGATCTCCTCGTGCAGGCTGCCCTGCAAGAAAGCTGTGCTGAAGTCGAGAGAGTGCAGCTCGTAGTCGCGGTGAGCAGCAACGTGCAGCAGTACCCGAAGAGTGGTCATCTTCGGGGTGGGGGAGAAGGTCTGAAAGTAGTCAACTCCCTGTCGCTGACTGAAGCCACAAGCCACGTAACGAGCCTTGAAGACAGGCGTAGAACCCGGCGGCCGCTTCACCCTGAAGATCCACATGTCACTGATGATGTTTGCCCCAGGAGGGGGAACAGCGTCAACGTAGGTGCCTGTGGACTTCCAGGAAGCCATCTCTGCATCCATAGCTGCCTGCCACTGAGAGGAGTAGGGACCCTCTATCGCCTCCGCGTAAGAGCGCGGAGTCGGGATGTCTAGTGCATCCGGGTCTCCCTCAGGGGCGAGCAGTACAGACGCGAGATGAGGTGAAGCGGCGGCCAGACACTGGAACTCCTCCTGCCTGGGGCACACTCACCCCCGACGGACGGAGGACAGGCAGACTCAGACTCAGCAACAAGAGGAGCAGCGTAGTCTAGATGACCGCGCGCAGCAAAGTCGACAAGCTCAGAGACAAGGGCAGACGCAGCAGAAGACTCGAAGGAAGGGTCAGTGACAGCAGTAGCAAGGAGACGCGTGACAGTGGGACTGGCACCACGAAGAGAGTCCGACTCCGGGTCGGCAAGAGCAGGAAGAGAGGAAGCAGGAGGAGAAGGCAAAGGGGCACGCAGAGGAGCAGTAGACGGACGCAGAGACATCCGGTGCGTGCCAGGGTCAGCAGGAGGACGCTGACGTGAACCGCGACCACTAGTGCGTGCAGTGCGAACAGGCGACGCAGGACGAGACGCAGGCTCACGACGCTCAGTAAGACCTCCAGTCGGACCAGCGTAGGGAGAAGGAGCAGGCAAAGGGGAGGCAGGCTGTAGCTGTAACTGTGACGGGACTGGCTGTGGACCCTCTAAGGGAGGAGGAGGAGGACCAAGAGAAGGTGTCAGACCAAGAACCTGCTGCAGGAGCGGAACGAAGTACGGTCGGGGCCGCGTGGCGACGCAAGAAA